AAAAGTCTCCCAAGAAGGTGAAGAAGCCTGCAGAAACAGCCAAGAAAGCAGCAAAGAGCCCTAAGAAGCCCGCCAAGAGCCCTAAGAAGGTAGTGAAGAAGGCCCCCGCTGCCAAGAAAACCCCTGCCAAGAAGGCAGCAAAGCCTAAGGTGAAGAAGGCAACACCCAAGAAGAAGTAAGCAGACATCAGGCTGACCTTGTAAAAAAAACAAAGGCTCTTTTAAGAGCCACCCATATATCCACTAAAAAGCTGTTTCCTATTGTTAATTTATTTTGTAGGTTTGTTTACAAATGTTTCTTTATGCTTTTTAACATAACAATAATAAACTCAAAAAGTAAAGTGAAATGCTCCCATTATACCCAGTACTCCAGTGTCCACTGTGTGCTGCAGTGAACTAGGATGAAATACAGCATCAGTTAAGCCCATTCCAACAAAACTACCTTCGTTTCAGTGAGGAGCAGTAAAATGTGGTGCTGCAGTTTCCTGTTCACTCCCAAAGACTTGCTGCCCCTGAAATCACTGCTCCAGATCATAGTGATCACATCAGACTTTGTGTCAGAGACGATGATGAATTTGTATCAAAAGTTTTCCACTGCAGGAGACGCACTGTTCAGCGCCACACTAATAAGATTGACCACTGTGTGGCGCTGTTTATCCTCTCTCACACCCTCCACTCTCTCAGTTTGCACCTGGTCACTTTCATATTTGGCCATTTTTATCTTCTTCAGCACGTGATCTGCACTACAATTATATGACAGCTGCTACTTTACAAGATTTGTACAAAGAAGATGTGTTTACAAGAGGACACCAAGCTGCTCAGCCATAAACAGTCAAGCTGGCCCAGGAGGCTGTTCTTGTAACATTGATTTAAGTGGCTTTTCATCCAAAAACACAAACACTTAATAATTTTGAGGTAGGACACAATAAGCTGAGTGAAGTCACTGGGTTGTTGTGACTTTTCACATTGTATGAATTTTTACAAACCAAGTTGGAAAATGATCCTTGGTTGCAGTCAGAGCTCCACGTTGAGCAGCAGATGATCCTTGGTTGCAGTCAGAGCTCCATGTTGAGCAGCAGTAGAATAATGTGTACACATTAATGCATGAGTAGGTTCATAATGATCTGACAGTCACAGGGACCAGCTGTGCTGTAGGACTCCTGCTATTTTGACTAAAGTAATAATAGTTTGAGTTTAAAACCTCTTTATTCCATCTCACTCATTTCTTACTGATCTTGGAATCAGGAACATCAACATGGTTCTAGCACATTTATTGTTATACTGATCTAAAACCTTTGATGAATGTCATTAAATGGTGACAGTTCAGTTTAGGGGAATGATAACTGTCTCATTTATGCTCATACTGTTCCTAGAATAATAAGTGAATTTCATATTGTGTAGTGAGGATTATTTTGACCACAGTTTCTGTGCATGTCTTTGCTGTTTGAGCAGCAGATGTAACAAGGAAACACATCTGATTTGCCCTGAGGCTTGATCAGCATTTTGTCTCAGTCCATGAACATACCGTTTCCAAACATTCCAGCTTTATTTGTTTCTCTAGTGACTTCAGTGAAACAATATTCGGTTCTTGTACCAAGATTAAGCTCTAGCTTGTAGACATGTTATTGTTCTTTAGTACAACATAAAACGATGTTCTTGTAATATGTGGTTAGACAATTTGAAAAAATAAATAAATAAATTTACAAATGATGCTAGATTTTTCACACCTGCTCATTTTTATTTGAATCACACTCATTTCAGGGTTAGGGAAACATGCAGGAAAGTTTGCAAAACAAGCACAAGTTGAACACTCAGTAACTATTTACACAACACAGCCCCCACTGAATACAGCAATCCTATGCAACACATT